CCTGGATCTTCTTTATGCAAGTCTGATATTTCTGTTGCTTCTATTCTATTTTCACTGTCTTTAGTGATTGTCCAGCATTCACAGCCATACAGAAGGGTTGACCAAACATAACATCTCAGAACTTCCCTTTTTGGTGTTCATTGAGATGTTCCTATTTTTCAGGATTGGGCTCATTGTATTGAAGCTAGCCTTAGCCATAGTGATTCTCCGTCTTTGTCCTTCATAGGAGGGGCCAAACCGACTAAACTGTTGATGACCTTCAGTGACAAAGGCGTATGTTTTCAAGGCCGCACGTCGGGTGATCGGTCTGGGCAGTTAGTTTATTTCGTCGCTTTTAAGGACAAGCGGGCTAACCCAGATTTCGGGGGTTTCCAAAAATCTTGACCTGCACCAAAAGTGGACATTGCCCTATCTATAAGAGAAGTTTGGTTTCATTGGTGAGTATATTTGTTTGGTTATAGAGAAAACTCTCATTGTCTTTTAAAAAAACTGAACAAGGGGCAAAAATTTTACCTTCGATTTTCTCAAAATAGCACTTTTCAGGCTAGCCCCCTTGTGCTTATAAGTGATCATTTATAGTGTGCACCGAAGCTGCCAGAAACCGAAAACTCCGAACGGAACCGATCCTCCAAACGGCACTGCCAGCAGCCTACATTTCCTATTCGGATATAGATTAGTTTAGTTTAGTAGAGGTTTTACGGCACTCGCAACTGCATGAGCGCCAGAAGATTAAAGGTGTACAAGAGAGTAAGAAACATAAAAAAGAAGAAGGGGAGATAAGGATGATAAATGTTTGATAGGTAAGAAGAAGCTAACCAGACCAGAGCTCCCGCCAATCACCCACCGATATAGATTCTACCCAATTCTTCCTGCAATTTACTACAGAAATTAAGATAACTCCTTATTTGGCCAAATTATATCAATTTAGACTATTGAAATGAAAATCATCGAATGCGAGATGAAATGTCGCCGCAAAAAACCCTTAACATCACAAGACGGGGTAGGCGGGAAAATGAAGTAGTAAGAGCAGCTATTGGCACTGAATCCTGCCTGCATTTTATTGAAAAAAAGGAACATAAAATGGTTTGGCCACTTGTCACTTATGTCACCTAGCCAGCCAGCCTTGAGAGCGTATAAAACCAAGCACTCAGGCTATAAAGGAAGAGGAAGGCCACGCAAAAGGTGGATTGAGGGAGTCAAGGAAACCTTGAGAAATTACGATATCCCAATTGAAAGACCCTCGGAGCTAAGCTACCATGGAAAACTGCATCTCTCTTCGACGCTCAACGGTAACAGAGGATGAAAACGTAAAAAAGGGAAAGTAAGTAAATAAATGAAATAAGTCCAAATTTATTCAACTCCAACTGTCTCGTTTGTTTCATTTGAACTAAGTGAAGAACAATGACGGACATCTAGTGCCAGAAAAAAGACAGACTGACAGACAGACTGACAGACAGACAGACAGACAGACAGACAGACAGACAGACAGACAGACAGACAGACAGAACGAACAGAGATTTAAAAAATAGTACAATTATTTAGGACTTTAATTGATAAGTAATTTAGATGAAGAAAAAACAAGAGGCAGACATACAGACAGATATAAAGACAGAAACAAAAGAAGGAAAAAAGAAGCACATTAATTGGTAATTTAGATGCAGGAAAATACCAAGACGGAAGGACAGACAGAACGAACCAAGGGAAAGAAAAGAGGTAGATGCTAACACCGGAGCGGGGGCTCTCGGGGCAAAGAGGTTAAGGTGTTGGCTTCTGATTCAAAGGTCCCGGGTTCGAATCCGGGTAGTGACCGAAAAATTTTCTTCTCTGAATTTTTCTCCTTTCACCTCCTTTCCTGCTCTCTAGCAATGTTCTGTCGCCTGCTTTCGTCTCCTCTTTCTGCCCCCACTCCCTCATCTCCTTTGCCCCCATCCTCTGGGCCCCTGATTCTTTCTACAGCCTTTCTGCAGCTACTCCTTGGCTTCTTCTTACTGCTGTCTTTCAGCCACACCTCTGATCTTCTGGTAGGAAAGATCTGTGCCTAGCCTTCTCGGACAAGGGCGGGAAATCTCTGAGGGCCCGTGTGCAAGCTGCGCATGTTAAAGATCCCTTGGTGGTCTAAAATCGATAAGAGTAGGCTTCGGCCGCCACCCGGGCAAAATTCAAAATTTCCTACCCACTGAAAAAGTTTAATGTGTCCCGCGGGCTCATATGACCTTATGCAGTTGCGAGCGCCGTAAAAACACTTACAAAACCAAAAAACAAACATAACACCGGAGCCTTTTACCAGCACACTTTTAGAGAATGGGGAAGCAACCTTTAGTTTTAGTAGAGAATTTACGCCGCTCTCAACTGCATAAGGTCAAATGAGCGCCAGAAGATTAGAGGTGTTACAAGAGAGTAACAAACATTTTTAAAAAAGAAGAAGGGGAGATGAGGACGATAGATGTTTGATAGGAAAGGAAGCGCAAACCACACCAGAGCACCCGCCAACCACCTGCGTTTGTTTGTTTGTTTGTTTGTTTGTTTGCTTGTTTTTTGTGGGTTTTTTGTTTTGGTAAAGAGAAGCACATCGACACAAAAATAATCCTTTAGTACTGGCAAAAAGTAGGCCTAAGACAGACAAACAGAAACAGCAAAGGAAAAGTGAAGAAGTAGGACCCACCAGTATCACCTTCCAGCCACCCGTACGTCAGAGTCAAGCAACCCCCCCCCCCCCCCCCCCCGGAAATCCCCGCCTCCTCTCCACCAAGACAAAGTTCAACAGTCCCAAAGCCGCTCAATATCATTCAGAGCCTCCCATTTTTTTAGATTGTCGATACCATTTATTGATACTAACACTAATACTACTACTACTACTACTAATAATAATAAAAATAATGATAATAATAATAATAATAATAACAACAACAACAACAATAACAATAACAACAACAATAGCAACAATAATAAGAAGAAGAAGAAGAAGAATCATAATAATAATAAGAAGAAGAAGAAAAAGAACAACAACAACAATAACAAGAACAAGAACACTAATAATAATAATAATAATAATAATAAAAATAATAATAATAATAATAATAATAATAATAATAACCATAATGGTAATAATAATAATAACAATAATAATAATAATAACAATAATAATAATAATAACAATAATAATAATAACAATAATAATAATAATAACAATAATAATAATAATAATAATAATAATAATAATAATAATAATAATAATAGTGACAGAATGCATCTATTTATCGCTCTGTTCTATACTAGTATTAAGCTCTGATCAGCGCTTTACGGTCACAAGTTCAGTGAGCGATTCACACAAGATACGGCAGTTTACAATAAAGAGGGAAAAAACAACCCCGTTCAACCACATAAAGAAGAAGATTCACAACCATACATGGATTGTTAATGCCTTTCAACAGTTTTCTTCCCCTTAAACAATAATTTTTTTATTCGTATTTTCATTTACGTAAAATTATTAGAGCTGGGCGAAGAGTCGATTCCGGAACCGATTCCTACGATTAATACTACGGGTGTAAAGTTCCTTCTCCTTTTTACGTAAACCAATGGTTTTCACATTAAAATTTTCTTTTTTTTAATAAAAGAATCTATTTTTGAAAAATAAAAGTTGATGCTTCGTAGTGTTCCGAAATCAAGGTTAACCTAAATCCTGAAGACGTTCGGAGCCAACCACGTAACCACCGGAGGAAAAAAAATCACATCATTAGAAAATAAGTAATTGGGTTCGGAGTCGATTCCTACGATTCCTAGCTTTCAATAATCGGGAACTCATCCACCCAGCACTAAAAATTATGCGCCCGCGAAAACTATTTTCCAGGGGAGTGAATTCTTGATAAATTGACTGACGTGTGTTCGTTTCTTATAAAAATAAAACTAGTTTACAAAAGAAAGCACTTTTACGTCTTGCATTGAAATGAATAAAGGATTTTCCCAATTTCACTGAGCCATAACCGAGCAGCGAGCGTGCAAAAAAAACAAAACAAAGGCAATTACTTACATTATATCTGGCAAGTTACAACATGATGACACAGTCAAAATATTAATACAGATACACCTCAAATTATTGAAATATTATTATTATGCTGGTCTTACGTTCAGTTGAACGTAGGAGGAAATAAAAACGCTGGACCGCATTGATATTACTTTGTGATTTGAAAGGAATTGTAAGAGCTGCACTGTCTGATAGTGTGCGGCTTTCAAACATTTTTTTTTCGAAAGCGTTCTGCTCAGATAAATTTCCCACGTTAACAAACGAAGAAATAAAACAAAACAAACAAAACAAAAACCCTAACCCCTAACACATATTCGCACACAAAAAACCTCAGCTCTACCAGTTATTAACAAATTTTAATAAACAAATACACAAACAAACGCAGCACATGTCATAAAAAGCAAAACCCAGACTTACTGGTAAAAACAGACAGACAAACGCACAAAAAAGACAACCCAGCCTTACAAACAAACAAACGAACGAATAAACAAACAAACATACAAACAAACAAACAAACGGACGAATGAACAAACAAACAAACAATCAAACAAACACAACCCAGCCATGCCAGTTAAACAAACAAATAAACAAACATAATCCAATCTTACTAGTAAAAAAAACCCCAAACAAACAAATCATCAACCAGTGGAAACAAACAAACGAACAAATAAACAGTTTTAGCTTTAGTATGAGTTTTACGGCACTTACAACACAACAAGGTCATAAGTGCCGGAGAATAGATTACGTGTTACAAGAGAGTAACATACACAAAAAAGAAAAAGGGGAGATAGAGACGATCAATTTTTTATACGAAAGAAGGAGCAAACCACACCAGACCACCCGCCAACAAACAAACAAACAAACAGACAAACAAACAAATAAAAATACAAACAAACACACAAACAAACAAGCAAGCAAGCAAAAAAGCAAACAAACAAACAAACAAACATACACATAGACAAACAAACAGAAGCCGCACCTGTGAGACTGTTAAAGAACTTGACAGTTTCGTTGACGGCACTGAGCGTCTCAGGGCTGTCCAGTGCAATCTCCTGCCACGACAGACATGCGCACCAATGGTCGTCTACCTCGGCGCTGACAGGGGGAGAGAGGTTTGACGTTTTTTAGTTGTTTTTTGTTTTAGCTTTAGTTTTTTTTTAAATTATGGCACTTGAAATACAATCATCATTATTATTATTAAACATTATATTATTATTATTGCTATCATTTTTATCAATATTATAATTATTAATATTAATATTATTATTTTTATTATTATTATTATTTTTATTACTATTATTATTATTGTTATCATTATCATCATCATTATTATCATCATCATCATCATCATCATCATCATCATCATCATCATCATCATCATCATCATCATCATCATCATCATCATCATCATCATCATCATCATCATCATCATTATTATTATCATTATTATTATCATTAGCATTATCATTATCATTATCATCATTGTCATCATTATCATCATAATTATCACCCTTATTATCATTCATTATCATCATAAAACAGCGAAGAGCTACCTACTTCTCGCATAGCCTGGTGTCGGGTATCCTCTTAAACAGGCTAACCGCCCTCTTGGTGACGTCAGCCGGTCCGGTTCCCGTGAAATTGGCCACCTCCCTGAGCGTCTCGTGCACGTCGAAGGGCGTGGTGAGCATCTGGGCGTTGTGTCGGAAGTTGTCCACGATCTCTGGGTGCTTTTGGTGGACCCACGGGGGGAACCTGGAGGCGTGTAGTGGGGGGAGGGGGTGAGGGTGGGGGGAGGGGGTGAGGGTGGGGGAGGGGTGAGGGTGGGGGAGGGGTGAGGGTGGGGGGGTGGGGGTAGAAAGGAGGGGTGTGAGGATAATGCCGTGTTGCCTCTTTGTTTGCTTGTTTGTTTGCTTGTTTGTTTGTTTGTTTGTTTGTTTGTGACAGACAGCGAGACAGACAAACAGACAGACAGACAGATGGACGGACAGATGGACAGACAGATGGACGCACGGACAGACGGACAGACAGACAGACAGATCATTTCATAAAAGACAGTTGGAGAAAATGGAGAAAATAAATTAAATGTAGATCTACTATTTTTATCATCACGCGAGTCATTGGAAGATGAACATTACATTCGATTTGAAAAACCCAGTGTTAGTGTCTTTGTTTAAGTAAAGAGAAACACATCGACACAATTTAATTATCATTTTTTTCTGGGAAAAAGTAAGACAGGCAGACAGATAGACAGAAACAACAGTGGGACAGTAAAGAAGTAGTTGGACCTACCAGTGGCGCCCTCCAACCACCCACAACTCAGAGTTTAAGATATCATGATAATGTTTGTTGAAAATGTTTATGTCCTACATTCACAATGATAATCAATAGAATAAATCTTCCACATTCATCTCTGGTAGATCGGCTTTCCTTGCCGGGGAAAAGTTTCAATTTTTTTTATCAAATCGATGACAAGTTCTAGATTCAGTTTCGTTTTTTCTTTGTCAGATGACGTGACCTTTGTATTTCTGGCTAAGGCAGAGTTTTATTTTCAATCTGTAGATCTGATGGCTATCGCTGTCATAATGTAAAAAAAAAAAATCCCAAACAAAACAAACCAAACAAAAACAACCAACCTCCCCCCCCCCCCCAACAAAAAAATAATCCTTAGATTTTTCGAATCGGAATTCGTCGGCGGTACCCATGCACGTACACACACGCGCGCGTGCACACATACAAACACTCAGAGAGAGAGAGAGAGAGAGAGAGAGAGAGAAGGAGAGAGAGCGAGAGAGAGAGAGAGAGAGAGAGAGAGCGAGAGAGAGAGAGCGAGAGAGAGACAGAGACAGACAGGCAGACAGACAGACAGACAGACAGACAGACAGACAGACAGACAGACAGACAGACAAACACATAAGAAGACAGACAGACAGACAGACAGACAGACAGACAGACAGACAGACAGACAGACAGACAGACAGACTTCTAAGTCACCCCTCTCTCAGCAGTTACCTCCACCCACCTTCTCTCTCTCTCTTTTACCCTCTCTGCTCTCTCTCTCTCTCTCTCTCTCTCTCTCTCTCTCTCTCTCTCTCTTTCTCTTTGCGTGAGTTTGTGTGTTTGTTTATTTCTGTGTGTTTACGAGCGCTTTTTGTATATATTTATATGTATATACATACATACATGTATACCCCCGGGGCAGGGCACTGACTGAAGTGTCTTTAGGCCATTCCCAATGGGGGGACATTTCTCGTTCAAGCATAGTATACTGACGGTAATTAAAAACGCACCACTTTGGATTGAGCACATTTTGGACTAAAATCTATCCAGTGACATCAATAGAGGTTGACAAATGTTCACAGGCAACAGAGGTTACCGATCGCACAAAATTTGAGGTTCCCAGTTCAGACCTGTCAATGCGCACGTGCAACATGCAAAAATCCGATGTGTCGACCTCAAACCTAAAATTTGTTTAGCGAGACAGACTTTTTGGCTCTTAGGGAGAGATTATATTCGCCCATAACAAAAACTGACATTCTTTACTCTGTGCGACGAATTTTTTCAGCGTAAATAATGCCGCGACTTTCCATGAAAGAACGTGAAAGGGCAATTTGAATGCCCCAAGCCGGAATGGCAGCACAAGTTGCCAGGCGCATGAACTGTAGCCACTCGACTGTTATCCGGGGTTTCAAGGAAATCCAGCTTCTGGATCTACAGCAGATCGGCGACGGAGCGGGCAACCACGAGTTACAACACTAGTGCAAGACCATTACATTCGCCAACGTCACCTTCGTGACTATTTCCTGCCAGCACCGGAAACAGGTCGTCGAGTGGTTGGTCGTCGTGGACCAGTATCTGATTGAATGGGCTTTGAAACGCCGTTTGCGATAAGCAGAACTTGCAGCCAGACACCCGTACGTTGGTCCTGTCCTGACACAGAGGAACTGTCAACAACGTTTGCAGTAGGCCAGGCAGCAATACAGTTGACGTGAGTCGATTTGCCCTCTCGCATGCTGACGGGAGAAAAAGGGTCTGGCGAGCGCTATGCCAATTAATATATACTGTAGGTCGATAGATTAGGAGGAGGCAGTGTCATGGTATGGGGAGCGTTCATCCACGATTATCGCATACCACTGTACTACTTCGACAAGCCTGTAAATGTCAACACGTACCAGCAGGTTCTGCAGAACCACGTCGTGCCGTTATTTGGTCAACACCCAGAGCTGCAGCTATTCCAACACGACAACGCCCGCCCCCACACCGCTCGAGCCACCACTGATTTTCTGCCGGCAAACAACATTGATGTCCTGGCTTGGCCATCACTGTTTCCAGACATGGCACCAATTGAGCAGGTGTCGGACGAGCTTGGCCACCGTTTGTCCCGTGGAAGACCTCTACACAATCTCCAAGAGCTGAGGCGTTCTTTGACAAATGAGTGGGTACAGATTCCACAGGTGTTCTTTCAGACTCTTGTCAATTCCATGAGAAAACATTTCCAATCTTGTACATTGTATTCAGGCCAATGGGGAACATACACGATACTAAAGCAGGTGTTAAAAACTCAATTTATTGCTCTTATTTTTTTAAAATGACTTTTGTTACTTCATGTTTTTGTGCTCGCGGTGTCATTTGACTTTTTCATTTCATTTCAGCTGTGAATGTTCACAAAATGACCATAGAATGCAATGGTATACAATCTGTTTAAAAAAAACAACACATCGCCATTATTTAAATTGTTTTTTAAGTGGTGCGTTTTTAATGACCGCCAGTATAGAATTGTAAATGGGCTGATTCATGCCACGCTCATAACTGTGCCTGATCTACAACAGGGAACTGCTGCTTTTTCTTTCCTGATCCTTACTATTGTCATTTTCCTCTACTTATTTTGTATGTTTGTCACTCCCTTGTGACCTGCTATTTTGGGGTGCCTTGATAGTCGAAGCAGACCTTGTGCTGTTGAAGCTGGAGAGGTGAGCAGTCTAAGTCTGATTCCCTGTAAATACTTCTCTGTTGACACCCACCTCTTGGCGCTCATATGACCTTATGCAGTTGCGAGCGCCGTAAAACCCTCTACTATAAAAAAAAAAAATACATGTATGTGTATACAGAAGTTGTAAGCGCTGTAAAAACAAACAGGTAAGTTGACGCAGAAACATTGAGCAGAACAGACAGCCAGGGAAACAGACTTACAAATGAACACAGAAAAATAACACAACGCACGAACAAACAATGAACAAAAACAAACGAACAAACAAACAAACAAACACAAAAACGCAATAAAAGTAAAGAGACAAAGAAAAAGAACAAACACACAAATGCACCAACAAACACACAAACAAACATACAAACAAACACAAACAAATAAACGCACACATCAACAAACGCACCGAGAGAAAGAGAGAGAGAGAGAGAGAGAGAGAGAGAGAGAGAGAGAGAGAGAGAGAGAGAGAGAGAGAGAGAGAGAGAGAGAGAGAGAGAGAGAGAGAAAGAGAGGGAGAATGTTTTACGAAGCGGGTTGTTCCAACAGGTGAGACATGTACAGGCATTTACTATAAAAAATAAATGTACTGTCTTGTTGTGCGTATGTGTGAGTGCACCTAAGCTTTGTAACGCCTACTGCCATTATTAACGACAATGACAAATTACTCCCCGCGAGATGAATAAATAATTTTAATGTCACTATCATCGTCAAACAAACACACCAACAAACGAACAAACAGACCAATAAACAAACACACCAACAAACAAAAATACACACTAACAAACAAGCACACAAACAAACATACCAACAAATAAACACACATACCAACAAAGAAACAAACACACCAACAAACAAACACACTAACAAACAAACACACCAACAAACAAGCACTCAAACAAACACATAAAAAAACACCAACAAACAAACACACGAAAGAAACAAATAAACGCACACACAAACAAACACACCAATACACCAACCAACAAACAAACAAACACACAAACAAACACACCAACAAAAAAAAAATATATAAACACCCAAACAAACAAACATACCAACAAACCATTAAACACACCAACAAACTCACAAACCTACACACCAATACACCAACAAATACATACACAAATACAAACAAATAACGCGCACACCAACAAACAAACACAAAAACAAACGGACTGACAGACAGACAAACAAACAGACGGACCTAACGGCAAAGTAAGGCAGCCTCTCCTCCAGTTTCCCCTGATCTGTGGCCCGGACGTTCTCAAAGCGGGCGCCGTGGTCGGCCATGACGATGAGCAGCGTGTTGTCGAGGTGGCCCGCCTCCTTAAACTTGCGGAGATAGTCGCGGAGCTCCTCGTCTTGCTGCGTAGGGGATACAAAGGGTTGATTATTCAGCAAAATTCGTAGTTTCGGTCTCAGTTTAGATTAATTATTGTAAGAGTTTTACGTTGGCGCTCATATGACCGTATGCAGTTGTGAGTGCGTAAAACCCTCTACTAAAAGAAAATTATTATTTTTAAAGAGCTTTACGGCACTTGCAACAAAAGTAAGTCATATTATGACCTTATATGCTGTTGGGACCACCGTAACACAAACTTATTTAAAAACAACACCAACAAAAAAACAAAACAAAACAACAACAAAACAAAATCCAACAACAAATTCGTTCAAAAAAATGCAAAATATTTTAGGGTACTGCCAACCAGATAAGAACATACAACAATTTTTTTTAATGAAAAAAAAAAGTAGGTTGATAGAAGTTGTTTTGTTTTTTAAAATAAAAGTTTTACGGGACATGCAACACAATAGGTCATATAAGTGTCAAAGATTAGAGGTGTTACAAGAGCACAAAAAACGAAGGAGGGGAGAATAGGTTGGATAGATGTTGGATAGGAAAGAAGGAGCAAACAACACCAAAGCACTCGCCAACCACCCACCATAGAAGTATCACTGGACTGGAACGTAGGAACGAACAACGAACCACAACAAGAAGTCTGTCAAAACGGCCCCTTAAAAAAATTATAATTATTTTAGATTTTTACTCCCTCATAGACACAGTTTAGCTTGTGCAGGATGCGGAATGCCTGTTAAGGCCAATCCAGTTTTAGTTAAGTTTTAGTAAGTGTTTTACGGGACTTGCAACACAATAAGGTCAAACAAGTGCCGAAGATTAGAGGCGTTACAAGAGAGTAAAAACAAACACAAAAAAGAAGGAGGGGAGATAGAGACGATAGATGTTTTAGTTTAGTTTTAGTAGAGGTTTCACGGCGCTCGCAACTGCATAAGGTCATATGAGCGCCAGAAGATTAGAGGTGTTACAAGAGAGTAAAAACAAACACAAAAAAGAAGGAGGGGAGATAAAGACGATAGATGTTTGATAGGAAAGAAGCAAACCACACCAGAGCACCGGCAACCACCAACAATCCAGTTTAGTTAGTAAGAATTTTAGTTTAGTTTTTAGTAAAGTTTTATGACGCTCGCAACTGCATAAGGTCATTATTATGAGCGCCAAAGGGTGGTTGTCAACACAGAAGTCTAAATTAAGAGGAATCAGGCTTACTCTGCTCACCTCTCTATCCTCAACAGCACAAAGTCTGCGTCGACTATCAAGGCACGCCGGAAATAGCAGTTCACAAGAGAGTGACAAACATACAAAAGAAGTAGAAGAAAAATGACGATAAGAAGGATGAGGAAAGAAAAAAGCAGCAGTTCCCCTATGTTGTTCCGCACAGTATGAGGATGACATTGTTTAAATCAGCGCATTTACAATTCTACTTTGAATAAGAACATGTTAATATCCCCACTTTGGGAATGGCCTAAAGACAGCTACAGTCATTAGCACTGACCTGGTTAGGGGGGGGGGGGTGTAAGAATTTTACGGCACTTTCAACACAATAAGATCATATAAGTGCTGACGATTAGAGGACTAACAAAGAAGAGTGAGGGGGGGGGGGAGAAAAGTACGTTAGATGCTGGATAGGAACAGTGGCGAAGGGTCTATATAATCAAATAATCACTGCCTCCCTTCCTAATTTTGAAAAATTGTCGCTGTCAAATTCACCCATAGACGTAAAACCTCATAAATTAAATGTAAAAAGACGTTCATAATCACCAATGAACAACAGACTATGCCTAACCTTCAAAACCGTTTCATTGCCAAAGAAACTGCCTGTTCGCCCCTATCGGGCCACTCCATAAGCAGTCACAAGTTTTGATTAAGTAAGCTTAAAGTGAGGCTGGAAGAGTCTACCAATAGAGTTGAAGGGAACATGACAATGTGCATAGCAGTCAAAACTGTTTCATTGCCACATATACCCTGTTCACCCCTTTCGAGCCACAGTTATAAGCAGCAAAACGCTCTGATTATGTAAGCTAACTATTACTCTGGTCGAGCCTACCTCACAGATGTGAGGGGAACTAACTCCTAATAATATCTTGACTGCTGCGAGTGCTTGTTTTTTGTCATCGACTTTTTAACCCCCTATAATCAGATCGTGACCTCGATTATGACACCGGCTCCTGGCCGCGAAAAGATAGACTAAAACAGCCAAATGTGAAATAAAAAATTAATAATTGGCCTGCTCTACCAAAGTGTCTGGTATAACCTGCCATTGTAGTACTGGCATCTCTGCTTCTTTCCTTGGTGTTCGTGTGTTCAAATCTAAAGTTGAATTCAAGGTTAGTTAGAATAAATATTTAATGAAATACCTTCCCGATTATTTTAGCGGTTGAATATGCATACACCATGAATTCAGGATTTGTTTTCATTCACAACTCAGAGTTGCCGCTTCCAGAAAGATTCTTGTGACTTGTGTTAGTGTGATACATGTATCTCCAGGCCCTACCTGGTCCCATTTCACTTTGATTACCCTGTCAAAACAAGTCAGCCTTCGCCCCAGAATAGGAAAGAAGGAGGGAGAAAACCACATCAAAACACCAGCCAACCACCCAAAGTCAAGCCAGGCAGAGATAAGAGATACAACGTCCCGCTATTAGACAGACAGAGATGTAAGATCGGTTTTAAAAAATAACTCCCACACTCGAAAATCTATATCAATTTCACTGGAGCGTTGCGGCAAAGCGCCAGATATATTGTTACATTTTATCACACCACAAACGGCAGAGGATATTCTTTTTAAGAAGTTGGATTTATTACGCTCCGTTCGACACGGTTGGGATCCTTTTGCAGGTTTGCCATACATCCTGTCGACCCGATCGGCCAAGGTAACCCAGACTTATGTATGTATGTATGTATGTATAAGGTTTTACGGCGCTCGCAACTGCTAAGGTCATATGAGCGCGCGAAACACAAGTTGTTCACCTC